TAAATAATCATAAAATGTGTGAATGAGATCGCAGGTTAGTGTTCACTCAAGCATAAACAAAGCTAGACTGCTCACGGCTGCACGGGGACACGGACAGAGTGGGCCAGCGGACAGGTCCCGTACCTGGTGGTCCGAAAATAGGGGCGCGTTCGATAATAGGGACACAGTTTGTCCAAAAAAATGGTCTTATTTTCGAAATGTTCGATATGTGATACATTCGATTTTTGAGGTTCCACTGTATTGACGTAAAATTAGACATTTAATGTGCCCGAGTGTGATTATTATTACATAATAGAGTGATGTGCTCATGGAGAATGTAAACAAACCGGGTGGCCCATGCCGTATTTGAAAGACCACTTGCTGTATAGAAAGTTTTGGTCATAATTTGAGATCGCCGTATTAGCAGAATGCCGTAAGGCGAAACGCTAATTGTATTAGAAACGGCTATTAGTGAAGATTCAAGTGCCTTGAATCTTCACTAATAGCCGTTTCTAATACAATTAAACAAAAAGGCAGCTTCACCATCTCTGAAGTCCTAGCAAGAATCCTCCTGCCATCACATAGTCTCTCCTGTTAATACTACACAAGCACCTTACAGAAAAGGAACATTGAAACAGACCTTCTCTATCCAGCCACCAACAGAAATATTTGTCTAACCTATTTTTATGTTTCCCAAGTAATAGCGTTTATATCCTTTTTGCTCATGTGCAAGTTAATTGTTCTAACATATTGTATTACTACTACTACTACCACTAGTATTGCACCTCACTCTGAGCCTATATACGTATACCCTCCGTGTCCATGTACTGTTTGTAATGGCTTAAAGCTCCTGGAGAGCGAAACGTTGCCACAATAAAATGTCACATTAGTTGCACTTGTGTCCTTTTACTTTACATATTGTCGGTAATTCTACCAACTTTATTACAACCTGTGAGACAAAAAGAGAGAGACAGAGATAGACAGAACCTAAACTTGGGATTAACATCACTTTCCTCTTAAAAGGGGAGTGTTAATATGACTTTACATCAGTGAATCCTTGGTATTTGCCACAACGTTTGCTCGAGCTGGGACTCAATGTAACTGGCGCTCCCACAAGGTCCTAAGTGGTCACAGATTTTTTTTAATATGGTGCACACCGAGTGTAAAGACCCATCCTATGCTGACCAGGCATCTCGGGCCAATTGTGCCAAATTTGAAGGCATGAAAATTAAAACGTATATATACATTCGGGGCGCTAGCAGTTAGAGCGTATATATACATTTGGACCATTTAGGGGTTAATATATTTATAGATGGGGTTGTAAAAGAAGTAAATGCTAGGGTATTGGGGAGAGGGGTGGGATTAAATTATGGGGAATCAAATACAAAATGGGAGTTGACACAGTTACTTTTTGCTGATAATACTGTGCTTATGGGAGATTCTAAAGAAAAGTTTCAAAGGTTAGTGGACGAATTTGGGAGGGTGTGTAAAGGTAGAAAGTTGAAAGAGAACATAGATATGAGTAAGGTGATGAGAGTATCAAATGATTTAGATAAAGAAAAATTGGATATCACATTGGAGAGAGGGAGTATGGAAGAAGTATGTGTTTTCAGATACAGTGGTCCCTCGTTTTTCGTAATTAATCTGTTCCTGGAGCCGTTACTATAAACGAAATTTACGATTTGCGAATCAATTTTCCCCATAAGAAATAATGTAAATACAATTCCTGACGCCCAGAAGTATTAAAACAAAAACATTTTTACATGAAATATACATATAGTACATAAACAATACAATGGGAAATGATGAATGAAACATTAACAGCATAACACTTAACTTTATTGGAGATTCTTCTTAGTGTATGGGAGACTGGAGGAGAGAGATTGGATTGTTTACAGTTTGGAAGGGGAATCCCCTTCCAGCAACACCTCAGGTACCAATTGCTTCTCTGGGGTTGCTTCTCTTCTCTGTTTCTTAATGCCACTAGGACCACCTTGAGAGTCACTCTAGTTCTGTCTTGCAAAGTAACTGTGGAGAGAGCTCTGTTTCTGGCATCTCTTTAACACTTCCCGAAAATGGCCCAAGACTTTGTCACTGTACATATTTCTCACCTTCTTTACCACAGGCTTGGCACTAGGAGCTTTCTTTGGAGCCATGGTAGCTTATTTAGTAATTGCAAGCACTAAAATGAGTGGATTATGAAATATTTCGTAGGAGCACTTGAGGGGACCTTCACTCACTGGTAAACAATGCCAGACTGGCTGGGTAGGGAGGCCGCCCCGGCTCACACAGTGCGTACGAGTCCCGGACGAACTACTATTCGCGAGTCATCCTATGAAAAGCAAATCCATGTTTATACGAAAATACCCCTATGATTGGCGAAATTTACGATTGCCGAGAACTACGAAAAGCGAGGGACCACTGTATTTGAGAGTTGACGTGTCAGCGGATGGATTTATGAAGGATGAAGTTAACCATAGAATTGATGAAGAAAAAAAAAAGGTGAATGGTGCGTTGAGGTATATGTGGAGACAAAAAAACGTTATCTATGGAGGCAAAGAAGGGAATGTATGAAAGTATAGTGGTACCAACACTCTTATATGGGTGTGAAGCTTGGGTTGTAAATGCTGTAGCGAGGAGGTGGTTGGAGGCAGTGGAGATGTCCTGTCCAAGGGCAATGTGTGGTGTAAATATTATGCAGAAAATTTGGAGTGGAAATTAGAAGGTGTGGAGTTAATAAAAATATTAGTCAGAGGCTGAAGAGGGGTTGTTGAGGTGGTTTGATCATTTAGAGAGAATGGATCAAAGTAGAATGACATGGAGAGCGTATAAATCTGTAGGGGAAAGAAGGCGGGGTAGGGGTCATCCTCGAAAAGGTTGGAGGGAGGGGGTAAAGGAGGTTTTGTGGGCGAGGGGCTTGGACTTCCAGCAAGCGTGCTGTGAGCGTGTTAGATAGGAGTGATTGGAGACTAATGGTTTTTGGGACCTGACGAGCTGTTGGAATGTGAGAATGGTAATATTTAGTGAAGGGATTCAAGGAAACCGGTTATTTTTATATACCCTGACTTGAGTACTGGAAATGGAAAGTACAATGCCTGCACTTTAAATTAGGAGTTTGGGATATTGGCAGTTTGGAGGGATATGTTCTACATTTTTATATATGCTTCTAAACTGTTGTATCTGGGCGCCTCTGCAAAAACAGTGATTACATACGTATGAGTGAGGTAAAAGTGTTGAATGACGATGAAAGTATTTTCTTCTTGGGGATTTTCTTTCTTTTTGGGTCACCCTGCCTCGGTGGGAGACTGCCGACTTGTTGAAGAAAAAAAAATTTAATCTCTGACACTATTTATACATGAAAGGCTCTTGAACCACCAAACAGAAACTACCCTTCCCTTTTTAGGATCAAACCTAATTAGTCTCACCCTCTCTCATTCCCCATGGGCTCCATGACCTTATGGGTTTAATGTTTCCTCTTGAATATTTACCCAGGAATGGTTGGAGGCAAGGAGTAAAGGAGACTTTGAGGTTTAAGGGCTTGAGCATCTAGCAGGCTTTTCTAATTGTGTTTGATAGGAGTGAATGATGACATTGTTTTTAATGCATGTGCTATTGGAGTGTGAGCAGGGTCACACTTACTAAGGTATTCAGGGAAAATCAGTTAATTGGACTAGAATACATGAGTCCTGAAAGCTGATGGAGGGGTGGGAATGGTATGGTAGGAGGGTAATCCAAATTGTAATATCAGCACACTTTTGGCAAGACAACAACTGAATGAATGATGGTGGTGAATTAGTTTACTTCGTCGCCCTACCACATTTGTGGTCAAGTACTATGCCAACCAAGGTTTGTGTTCTGATATCAAACGGATGTTCTGTGCTATGGTTTTTGTAAAGGGATAGTGTCCACTTCATACACGTTTGTTGATATTTCAATATCCTGATGTGGGCTTTAACCCTGTCGCTGTCATTCGTGTAGATCTACATAATTGGGGCTAGTGGTGCTTAGGTAGATCTATGAGTAAATTATGGACATTAGTCAGCCTGTGCAATGGGTGTGCACAGTATAAAAAATAATCTCGCCCCACACAGTGCATGATGGGAACAACTAACCTCTGACCTTATAACTGGGTTAAAACAGCAACTTTGGGATATTTTCTAGGGTAGGTATTATGGTGCCAATTGTTTACCAGAAGAAATACTAGTGAAAATGAGAAGATTCTGGTAAACTTTAGACTGAAAGTGGCATGAAATAGGCCTCGAAGTTGCAGAAATGGCTTATTTTCAGTATTTTTTCTTTTTTGAGGAAGAGTAGGGGTTCTAACTCTGTTTAGTCTGTTTTGTGAATTTTTACTAGATTTGTTTCTATTATTGGGACAACCTAAACCATGACCAAGCATTTTTTGGTTATGGCTTACTAGCCAATAGGGAAAAATGTCAATTTTATTTTGTGTAATGATGGATTCAAAGTGAAGGGGAAGTGTTATATAGGAGAGGCCTGGGGATGTGACTAATGAGCAGAGGGAACGATGCTTTAGCAGCTGGAATGCCTACAGTGCGCATCTTAGAAGCAGTTTTTCAATTGGAAGTTACTGAAGTTCTGATGGTTAAAAGGCAATTTCTTGTGATCAATGGTTTACGCTGGCTTGAGCACTTTACTTGGCCTACAAAAGGTGAAAGTGCTATTGCTGAAAATGCTCCCTGATCTCCAACTTTGCTCCTGGGTTAATGCATAAATATTATATGTATTAAGTTTTGCATATTTGGTATTGTTACCTTTAGTTATATAAAGATTCTCTACCATTTTAGATTTTTCTTTTCAAAAATGGCAATACAGAAAAGGCTTTCAACTTGGGCTGTTTGACAGAATACAGCATCTTTGAGACAGTTACTGCTTATAAACAAAGATCCCTGGAAACCCAAGGCTACTCAAATGATCTTGTGACAAAATTTGTGTATTAAAACAACTAGTGTTCTTTATGAATTGTGCTATTAAGCTGCTTCCAGCAAGCAAGCACTTACCTGTGATCATCTCTTCTCTGCAGATAATGCAAACATTGTCAACGGCTGTCAGTTCCTCTGGTGTAGCATCTGGATATAAAGTATTCATGTTTCGAATTGCACGTCTTGAAAGAATCACATCGTTCAGTGCTCTCTTGAAAGACCTAAAAAATCAAAGAAAATGCTTGTAACTTTATAGTTTTGTTTAACATAAGCTTTTTAGAAAAAAATCAAAGCAACTAACTCGGATAAGAATATTAGGTGACAGTACTTCAAGACAAGCGACTAGAAACAAATCTATGATACTAAATCACACAATAAATGAAGATTGTTACTTAATTAACATACAGTATTATTGAAGTACTGTATAGTAATATTCCATTTATCATGAATAAAGATGCATCCTAAAGTTTCTTCTCCTAGTTACAAAATCAAATTCTAAGATGCAACTATCCCATCTAAATTTCAAAGGAACTTACCTCATCGTTAAGTACATTGGCCTGATGATGAAGAGCGGGAAGGTGTGAATTCTAATCATAATGACCATGAACACTGCATACAGCACCACTTTGAAGAAACCTAAAAACATAATTATAGCTATAATACAAGTTTTCAAAATGCATAAAGATAACTATTAAATGAATATTGGCGAGTTCATTTCCTGCTTTGGGTCACCCTATCATGGTGAGAAAGAAACACTTGCAACTCTTGGACACTGGAGCCAAGTTATATACAAGTTGACCACAAGGTCACACCAGTGTGGTAGATTATAGTGCCAACTTGTGTTGGCACTAATCTAATTACTCATAGAATTAACAACTGAGCGAGTTGTGGATCTAAGCCATGCAAGGGATTAATTAATACTGGGTCACCAAAATACCTAAAAATGTGAATCTCAAGTAAGCCTTAATGGAACTTATAATAGAAGTAATATTGGTCAAACTGTGCTGTAGCTATTAGAGCCACAAATACACTCAAAACCAATAAAAGTACTGTATAAAATAAGAATATAAAATTTATACAATGCATTGTGGATCTAATGATTATTTTGGTGACACCCTCTTGATGGCTAATTTTGGAAATTGTATTTAAAAACAAGGCTTTATTTACCATTCTCTCTCCTAGCATCCAATATGATAATTGATTGCTTGATATAGACAGTTTTATGCTTAAGCACACAAGGGTTCTCAAGATCCTTAATCTTTTAACCCTTTGACTGTTTCGGTCATATATATATGTCTTACGAGCCAATGTGTTTGACATACATATACTCAAAAATTCTAGCGGCTTCAAATCAAGTGGGAGAAAGCTGGTAGGCCCACATGCGAGAGAAAGGGTCTGTGTGGTCAGTGCGCACAGTATAAAAAAAATCCTGCAGCACGCAGTGCATAATGAGAAAAAAAAAAACTCCAACCCTGTTTTTGGATTAAAATGCCGACTTTGAGATGTATTTTTGTATAATTTTTATGGTTATATTCTCGTTTTCATAGTCACATTTTATAGAATGGAAAACGTTGTAGAAATGGAGGTGATTTTGATTGGTTTTACTATGAAAAGGACCTTGAAATGGAGCTTAAAGTAGGGGAAATGTTTGATTTTTGCTGATGTTCAAGAGTAAACAAATGAGGTCATTGTCCAATAAATGTCCAACTAGCCATTCTAATATGTAGTCATGAATGGGTTGACATTATTTATACAATTATTACAATATTGCAGTAGTCTTTCATAACAGTAAATCTTTTATTTTTTGTTTGAATAAAAATTCAAAATAGAAAGCACGAGTAATAACAGAGGGGTCTGGAGACATGACTGATGAACAAAGAAAATGTTAAAATAGGGCTCAAAATGGGCGAAATCGCCGATTCATAAATACCGCAAAGGTCGCTAACTTTGTGGGAGCGTAATTCCGTAAGTTTTCCATCAAATTTCGTACTCTTGGTGTCATTACCATCGGGAAAAGATTCTCTATCATTTCATGAGAATTTTTTTTTTTTTCCAAATATTTTGCGACACCAGGAGACACCTCAGGATTTGAGATTGCGACAGTCAAAGGGTTAAATAGTAAATGGAAAACTGATAGTACTATTCAGTACTAATACAATTTTGCAATTAATAAACAAATACTCTTGGTACAGAAACATTAAGGAAATTACATATGTACTGGTAAAACAAATATACGTACTACGCTGCATTCTTACCCATACAAAGTTCAGTATAAAGCAGATACATAGCCTTATTCTCCCATGGATTCTCTGACTGCAAGTCAACTGTGTGGCAAATGTACTTCACTGCTATATTTAGTGCCACAGTCAAGAGGATGGCATATTCAAAGCCAAACACCAGCTGCACTGATGGACCACGTGTTATAGTCGAGTGGTATGCATGACTCACCAGGATCAAGTCTAGTAAACTCAAAAGCAGCAGCAAAGCTGAAAAAAAACATCAAAATTTTTAACTGTGAAAATCAAAATTACATATTTAGTGACTAAAATATGAAAACACTTAAAAAAATGTATTTTCAATCCACATCAACTAAAGTAAATGATTAACTCACACTAATGTACTTGAAACAGGAAATTCTCCAGAATATCACTTACAAATAACTCTGATGTGGAATAGTAATGTTATCACTGGTGATCGTTCCATGAAGTCTACCCTGTAGTCTGCAAGCCAATGGAAGGCTTTGAGGAATAATAGCACGGTGAAAAGTGCTACAAATTTTGGAGAGAAGTCATCCCTGAACACAGTGAATGCTAAGCAGGTCTCAGTAACTGCATAAAAAGAACGTTCAACGAGGTGCTGTGAGAAAGAAATATAATTAAATTCACAATGAAACCTGAACAAATAATACTGTATAACACTCATACTAAAAAAGTCAATAAAATTCTAGTTAAAACTATTGTAAACTATTAAAGGTATTCACATTTACTGCCATATTATCTACATGTACTTATCTAAGAAAATTAAAGTTTAGCACAAAAAAGGGAGAAACCTATTTAAGCCATGAGCATTCTGTCTAACCCAAGGCAATTAAAGAGGAAGTTTGCTCTAATTTAGTTTAATCCAATTAAATTATAACCACCAGTTCAATGGCTTGTCATTAAAATTCATCTGTCTCAGAAACACATTAACAGCCTAATTATGAACATTTACATTCGTATTTGTATTGTTTGTAGTACCAATTCATAACTAAAGAATTTGCAAGATAGGAACCTAATCTTTGATAGAGGGGTTATATTAATTTATAAATATGAAAAAGGTGCCGAATTAAGGCTACATTTCTATACAGTCTAGAGCAATCACAGACATCTACAAACCTGGATATTTCTTCTGAATAACTAAGCCTTTCAAGAAATCCTTTTCAGTACAGTGGACCCCCGCATAACGATATTAATCCGTTCATGAGAGCTCATTGTTATGCGAAATTATCGTTATGCGAATGAATTTTCCCCATAAGAAATAATGGAAATCAAATTAATCCGTGCAAGACACCCAAAAGTATGAAAAAAAAAATTTTACCCCATGAAATATACATTTTCCTACACACAAAGAGAAGGGTACATGCACAATAGTAGAGTAGTACATGCACAGTATATATTGTGTATGTACTACTCTACTAAATGAAGAATAAATGACACTTACCTTTATTGAAGATGCAGCAATGACTGATGAGACACTGTGTCCTGGGAGTGCCTTTTCCTCCTGAGTACTGTAGGTCCTGTTTGGCATTTTCTTCCAGAACAGGCCTTATCACACTGTGTATGCCACTACGATTCTTAAATCTCTCAAACCAACCTTTGCTGGCTTTAAATTCACCAATATGAGCACTAGTTCCAGGCGTTTTTCCCTGTTCACCTGGGTGTTAGTCGACTGGTGTGGGTTGCATCCTGGGAGACAAGATTAAGGACCCCAATGGAAATAAGTTAGACAGTCTTCGATGACACACTTTTTTGGGTTATCCTGGGTGGCTAACCCTCTGGGGTTAATTGTTTCTTGGTATTCTCAATAAGCCACACCAACAACGGTGCTACAGCAGCAGCAGCTGACAGTGCTACAGCAGCAGCAGCGAGCTAGCACAGAGCTGACAGCTACAGCAGCAGCAGCTGACAGTGCTACAGCAGCAGCAGCAGCTGACAGTGCTACAGCAGCAGCAGCAGCAGCAGCTGACAGTGCTACAGCAGCAGCAGCAGCTGACAGTGCTACAGCAGCAGCAGACGATGCTACAGCAGCAGCAGACGGTACTACAGCAGAGCAGATACAGAGCAGCAGACGGTACTACAGCAGCAGGCAGACGGTACTACAACAGCAGCAGCACAGCTGACGGGGACAGCAGCAGCACGGTACATCAACAGCAGCAGCAGCAGCTGACGGTGCTACAGCAGCAGCAGACAAGCTACAGCGCAGCAGACGGTACTACACAGCAGCAGCAGCTGACGTGGTACAGCAGCAGCAGCAGCTGACGGTGCTACAGAAAAGCAGCTGACATGCTGCACAGCAGACACACACAGGCAGCAGCAGCTGACGGTGTACAGCAGCAGCAGACAGCTGACGGTGCTACAGCATGCAGCAGACGGTACTACAGTAGCAGCAGCAGCAGACGTACTACAGCAGCAGCAGCAGCTGACGGTGGTACAGCAGCAGCAGCAGCAGCTGACGGTGGTACAGCAGCAGCTGACGGTGCTACAGCAGCAGCAGCATCAGCAGTTGACCATGGTACCACAGTATTTCGATAGTATTTCTCACCCTTTTTACCACAGGGTTGGCACTAGAAGCTTTCTTGGGGCCCATGGTCACTTATTTTGCAGATAAAATCACCAAAAAACACTAATACGAAATGTTACGATTGTATGCTTGGATGTTACCGCGGAGGCTGGCTTGTAAACAATGCCACCGGCGGAACATGTGAGGCTGGCTCAGGCCGCACATTAGACGCGTCTCGGACGAACAGCGTTGAGCGGGTTTTTTAGCGGTATGCGAGGCAAAATCTTAGCAATAAAATGTATCGGTTGCGGATTTAACATTATGTAAGGCCAACGGTATGCGGGGGTCCACTGTACATTTTTTTTTTTAACAAATCGGCCATATCCCACCTAGGCAGGGTGACCTAAAAAGAAAAAGTTAAGTTTCTCTTTTTAAATTTAGTAATGTATACAGAAGGGGGTTACTAGCTCCTTGCATTTTTGTCACCTCTTATGACATGCATGGCTTACGGAGGAAGAATTGTTCCACTTCCCATGGAGGTAAGAGGAAATAAACAACAACTAGCAAGGAAATAGAAGAAAGCCCAGAGGAGTGTGTATAATATTTTCTTGTACATCCATGTGTAGTGTGACCTAAGTGTAAGTAGAAGTAGCAAGATGTACCTGAAATCTTGCACGTTTTCAGTACAATTATAAAATACTATAAAAATAAATCATGCTAATTAGAACCTAATTAAAAATACTGTATGCCATTAAAACATTTCTGAACATGACATAAATAAAGCCAACCACTCTATAGCAGTACGTTATATGAAAAACAACTTCAGTACCCAAACAACAGGGCTAAAAGGTAAAGCAGATAATTTCATTATCTAAAGATTTGAAAGTAAAATTTTGTAATCACAAAATGAACAAAGGATACAGTCAGAGGGTCCCAATTTTTTTCAATGAGGTATTATTACACATCAGGTACAGTATATGGATAATGAAACACTATTATATGCATCAAGTACAAAGCCCACGGGGATCATACAGTGCCTGGGAAATGGGAGGTAATCAGGTTTGATGGGTTAAGCAGCTTCTATTCACTGAAACAAGAGTCCTTCGCTGGCATCGAGGCATCCCCCTTCCCCTCAAAGGAAATGAAAAACTAGCAGTCATTTCAACAGCAAAGATTATAATACAGTACAGTAGACCCCCGAGTTTCGTGATTAATCTGTTCCAGAGAGCCTGCCGAAAGACGAAATTCACGAAACTCGAAACCATTTTCCCCATGAGAAATAATGGAAATAAAATTAATCCGTTCCAGACACCCAAAAATATTAAAATAAAATATTTTTTTTCAAATTAAAGAAAGATTTATATACTGAAATCAATGAGAAATCAAGTACAGTGGTCCCCCGCTTTTCGTAGTTCCCGGCAATCGTAAAATTCGCCAATCATAGAGGTATTTTCGTATAAACATGGACTCGCTTTTCATAGGTTGACTCGCGAGTCGTAGTTCGTCCGGGATGCGTACCCACGGTGTGAGCCAGGGCGGCAGCCAGTCTGGCATTGTTTACCAGTCAGCGAAGGTCCCCTCACGTGCTCCAGCAAAATATTTCATAATATTCCATTTATTTTAGTGCTTGCAAGTACTAAATAAGCTACCATGGCTCCAAAGAAAGCTCCTAGTGCCAAGCCTGTGGTAAAGAAGGTGAGAAATACGATTGAATTAAAGAAAACTATCATTGAACAATATGAAAGTGGTACAAGTGTGGCCGAACTGTCCAGGATGTATAAGAAACCTACACAACCTTATGTTCCATAGTGGCCAAGAAAAATGAAATAAAGGATGCTGTTGTTGCAAAGGGAGTAACTATGCTGACAAAAATGAGATCACCATACTGGAAGAGGTTGAGAAGTTATTATTGTGTGGATAAATGAGAAACAATTAGCAGGAGATACTCTTATGACTTCGTTTATTTGTGAAAAGGCTAGGCAGTTGCATGAAGATTTGGTAAAGAAATTGCCTGCAAATAGTGGTGAAGTGAGTGAATTTAAGGCCAGCAAAGGCTGGTTTGAGAGATTTAAGAACCGTACTGGCATACACAGTGTGGTAAGGCATGGTGAGGCTGCCAGTTGGACCATAAGGCGGCTGAAAATATGTGCATGAATTCCAGGAGTACATAGAGGCAAAGGGACTGAAACCTGAACAAGTGTTCAATTGTGACGAAACAGGCCTCTTTTGGAAGAAAATGCCAAAGAGGACCTTCATTACACAAAAGGAAAAGGAAATGCCAGGACACAAGCCTATGAAAGACAGGCTGACGCTAATGTTCTGTGTTAATCCCTAGTGGGGATTTCAAAGTGAAGCCATTACTAGTGTACCATTCTGAAAATCCAGAGTGTTCAGGAAAAACAATGTTAGGGAAGAGTAAATTGTGTGTGTTTTGGAAATCTAATAGTAAGGCATGGCACGAGGGAAATTTTGGTCGAAGGGTTCAATGAAGTGTTTGGCCCTAGTTGAAGGAGTATCTCCCTGGAAAAGAAATTGGATCTCAAGTGCCTGCTAGTAATGGACAATGCACCTGCTCATCCTCCAAACTTGGATGACCAAATTTTTTCAAGGAGTTTGGGTTCATCACAGTAAAGTTCTTGCCCGAATCCCACTCCTCTCCTCCAACCCATGGACCAGCAGGTTATTGAAAACTTTAAAAAAGTCTACACAAAAGCAATGTTTCACAGGTGCTTGACTGTGACCCAGACACTCACTTGACCCTAAGGGAATTTTGGAGAGAACACTTCAGCTCCTCCACTGCATAACCCTTAAGGTATGGCTTGGGAGGGAGTGACTACCAGGACTTGACTCTGCCTGGAGAAAATTGTGGCCGATTGTGTCGACAAGAGGGATTTTGAAGAATTTGGGACTGACCTTAATGACCTATGTCTTTTGTAAAAATCAATTGTGGCACTGGGGAGTTCCAGGGGGTTTTGGATGTGAGTTTGGAGGATGTGGAAAAAATTGGTGGAAGACCACAATGAAGAGCTCACCACTGGGGAGCTGCAAGAGCTTCAGCAGGAAGAGCAACACATCGCAGCTCAGAATCTTGCTGCAGAGGAGGAGGAAGAGAGATGGAAGAAGGTGCCTTTTTCAGAAATTAAAGAGATTTTACTATGTGGGGTAAGATGGAAAGCTTTATGGAGAAACATCACCCTAACAAGGTTGTTGCAAGCCAGGTTGGCAACATGTACAGTGACAAAGTCTTGGGCCATTTTGGGGAAGTGTTAAAGAGACGCCAGAAACAAAACTTTTCCCACAGTTATTTGTGAGACAGGACTCCAGTGACTCTCAAAGTGGTCCTAGGGCATTAAGAAACAGAGAAGAGAAGCAACCCAGAAAAGCAAATGGTACTGGGGGTTTTGATGGAAGGGGATCCCCTTCCAAACTATAAAACCCAAACCACTCTCTCTCTCCCTCCTCCAGTCTCCCATACACTAAGAAGAATCTCCAATAAAGGTAAGTGTTATGCTGTTAATGTTTCATTCATCATTTCCCATTGTATTGTTTATGTACTACATGCATATTTCATGTTAAATTTTTTTTTGTTTTAATACTTCTTGGTGTCAGGAACGGATTAATTGTATTTACATTATTTCTTATGGGGAAAATCGATTCGTAAATTTCGTTTATAGTAATGGCTCCAGGAACGGATTAATTACGAACAACGAGGGACCACTGTACATGCATATAAAAATAATAACATTACACTTACCTTTACTGAAGACTTCTGGGTGGATGGAAGACGGGAGGAGGGGATACGAGGAAGGTGTACACTATTGTTTGGAAGGAGAATCTCCTTCCATTAGGACTTTAGGTAGCAAGTCCTTATCTGGGTTTACTTCCCTTCTTTTAATGCCACTGGGAACAACTTGAGTCACTGGACCCCTGTCGCACAAAATATCTGGCCAGAGGTCTTTTTCTGGCGTTTCTTTAAGATTTCTCTGAAGTGGGACACAACACTGTCATTGTACTGTTGCAGTTATGGCTTTTTTCAGCTTGGTCAGGGGTGATCTTTTCAAACAAACTTTGCAACTCATTTCCACATTCCACAATGTCCTTAATCCTAAAAAGAACTCCTTCACTCTCTTTTCCTCCTCCTCGAAAAAATTTCTGGCTGTTGTCTGATGCCCGTTCCAGTTTTAAGCTCTGCAGTTCGTCAGTGGTTAGACCCGCCTTGTAGGCATAAGACCGCCTTGTATGGGCCCAGTAGGCTTTCTGCAGTGTTCCTCAGTTCTTATTTTTTATGTAGCTCTTCCCTGTGATCCTCCGAACTGTTCCACATCCCTGTCACTCACCTCCAACCCATGGACTTGCTCAATGCCACACCCTTTCACACAGCAGAGGGTCGGCAGGGGAACAGGGTCTGCCTCAAACTCTTCAAAACCCTCTGGATCGTGTTCCTCACTATTTATCAAAGGGCTTGCACTAGCTTTCCTTGGGTCCATGATGACTTATTTAGCAGCTGCAAGCACAAAAAACAGTGGATTATTATGAAATGTATTGTATGAACCCGCGGGGTGATGGTCACGTGTTGGTAAACAATGGCACACTGAGCATGAATGGCGTGGGCGACTGGCTTGGTGTGCGTGGTGACGGGTGGACGGGTACCGGATGGTTGCCGAAACACGAGTCTAATCACGAAACTTGAGGCCAAATTTTGCCAAAAAAACTCGCCGAAGGTCGAATTTCACGAAAGTCGATGCTGCTGAAACTCGAGGGTCCACTGTACTTACATATCTTACTATACTTTACCTATAGGCTCTTTACAAAACATTCACCCAAAATACTAAGGAACTGAACACCCTATTAAAATTGAGGAAATAAACACTTTAAAATTACCTCTCCACTTCTTCCACTGTCTCCAGTACTCAAATCCCCACTATTTGAGTGAAGAAATTTGCTACACAGGCAAGACATTTCATCAGTAAAGATATCCAAGTGTTACATGTCTTATTCATGCACACAAGATCATAAGAATGAAGGAACACTGCAGTAGGCATATTGGTTTATGCTACAGGTAGGTCTAACTTTCACCCAACAACACCTCTCATGTAACCATTGCAGCGCTGTATAGTCCTTGTGGCTTAGCGCTTCTTTTTGATTATAATAATAATCATGTAACCATTCAACCAATATTTAAAACTATCCAAAGTTCTTGCCCCAATGATGCTACCTGGCATGTGTTCTACTCATTCACAATTCTATTGCCAAACCAGTAACTTCCTGTAACTGTAGTTCTGTATGCCATCAATATAATGATATCCTTCTAAGGAAATGTTTATTTTTTACTAAGACTCCAAGCCTCCTGCTTGAGGGCCTGATCAGCCAGACTGTTCAAAGTATATATCTCATGAATTTATATGGGACACTGTCTCTGGTAAAATGTGAAGTCCTACCACATATGTGGTAGGACTTCACAAGCAGAGGTGGCAAACCTTATGAAGTATATTACCTCAAACTCTGCTGCCCTCAAAGACCCAAAGAAGACCTTCTTAAGGAATTTTCCAAGGAGGATGACCAGTGTGAAGGCAAGCAAGTAGATTGCCTGAAAATTAAAAGAAAATTAATACAGCATATACAAGGTTCAATGTAATATAGTAGGCCATGTCATAAATCAATATTTTTTCTGTGTGTCAAGCTTTCTTTATAGTGTACTGTACTAGGATGCTCGTTTTAACTGAATGCTATAGTGGAAATTTGCCTCTGAACTCAAAGCTGTACTTAAACATAATGATCACTTGTGCAGAATTAATGTAAAATTATCTGGTGCTAAGTGGTTCCCATGGTGAACCTACTGTCCAGACACTGGAACACTTCCCCAGTCTGATAGGAAATTCCTTTTCAGATCCTTGGCCCATCTTAGGGTGCAACCACCTGTTGCTTCCATTAGCCCACACATCATCCCCCTCTTGCTCAGTAAACCTCCTACTGCACCCTGCATGCCTATCTGACCTGCCACACATCAGATGTCTGGCAGACCCCAACTCTTGGCTGGTAGTATACAAGTGAGATGCAACCTTAATGACCACTGTATAGATAATAGGTTTTCAACCCATTAAACTAATTAACCAACCAATTACTGGCTTCAAGCCTCTCTACCTCCAGGCAGAAATCCATTTTCTCATCTTCCAAAATCCTTGGGAACCTGTAAATTGTTAGATTTGGCTCATCACCTTAATAGTTATCATATGCAACAGCACAACAGACAGTAAGCATCATAGAGAGTTAAAAGTATGAGAGAAATATCTCTTGTGTGGTATGTATATGTATCAAGTTAACATGGGTTGACATCCAATGTTGTGTGTAAAACCTCAGTACATGCTGGGTAAATTGACAAGCCTGGCAAACCTCTCTCACACCTAGTGAAAAAAATACATTTATTTTGGCAGTAGCAGCACATCAGAGCCAATCAATACTCAGTATTGCATGCCTAGCTAGAGAAAAAACAAGTGGACAAAGACGGCCTACATTGATAAGAGTAAGACGAGATTATTTTAGGTTGGGTTAGGAGAGTCATTGGGTTAAGTTGCACGTTTTACCATCTGCACAACAAAATAATCTCAATGTAAAGTCAACTTATTTAAGATTGTATAATTTATTGTCGAAATCTGCCGAGAAGCAGTCTCCAGTTATTAGCCCACAAACATACATAACAGGCCTATCATGCCCCTCCCATGCCTGGCAGACTACCTATGCACTTGACAAACCCCCCCACATGCCTACCAAACCTCTTGCAAGTCAGGCAGACCTATATGTCTGGCAAACCTCTTCACAAGCCAGGCCAACCTTCCACTTGCCTGGCAGACCTATTCACAAGCCAGGCCAACCTTCCACTTGCCTGGCAGACCTATTCACAAGCCAGGCCAGCCTTCCACTTGCCTGGCAGACCTATTCACAAGCCAGGCCAGCCTTCCACTTGCCTGGCAGACCTATTCACAAGCCAGGCCAACCTTCCACTTGCCTGGCAGACCTATTCACAAGCCAGGCCAACCTTCCACTTGCCTGGCAGACCTATTCACAAGCCAGGCCAACCTTCCACTTGCCTGGCAGACCTATTCACAAGCCAGGCCAACCTTCCACTTGCCTGGCAGACCTATTCACAAGCCAGGCCAACCTTCCACTTGCCTGGCAGACCTATTCACAAGCCAGGCCAACCTTCCACTTGCCTGGCAGACCTATTCACAAGCCAGGCCAACCTTCCACTTGCCTGGCAGACCTATTCACAAGCCAGGCCAACCTTCCACTTGCCTGGCAGACCTATTCACAAGCCAGGCCAACCTTCCACTTGCCTGGCAGACCTATTCACAAGCCAGGCCAACCTTCCACTTGCCTGGCAGACCTATTCACAAGCCAGGCCAACCTTTCACTTGCCTGGCAGACCTATTCACAAGCCAGGCCAACCTTTCACTTGCCTGGCAGACCTATTCACAAGCCAGGCCAACCTTCCACTTGCCTAGCAGACCTATTCACAAGCCAGGCAAACCTTCCACTTGCCTAGCAGACCTATTCACAAGCCAGGCAGACCTCCCACACGCCTGGCAGACCTACCGCCATGCTAGGGTTGGACTTGGTGATGTACACGACAGACGGATAGAACTGTCGCTTCTGGTAGTAGGCGTTGCCTATGACGGCCGCCGTCAGGGCAAACGACGCCATAGTAAGGCCTCCGACGGGCATAGGCGCCGGCATCCTGATGGCGAGGTGGTCCTAGACCCAGGGATAACACCACCACTGAGGTAGTCAAGTCTTTTTTTCCCTCCAGCCTCTCTCCTTCAGCCCCAGCTGACGACACCAACTCCAACCCAAACAATCGCTGACATCTGCCCCAACACCTTGTCCACTACCACCAATAATTTCTTCCTCTCTATTTTCACCACTATCCCGGCTCTCTCTCTGATTTCAGATGTTTCGAAAGATAAGTACTATCGGGGAATCGGGAAATGAACTGTCTTCGTTTTTGATGAGTGCCAGATGCTGTGTGTTCTTTAAATCGGTGAAAGGTGTTTCTCTTAAGCAAACTGTCTCTCCTTGATTGGCCCAGCAACACGCGCCAGGATTTGAAATATTGTCTCGCATTACAATAATAATGACGCTATTTAAGTTTAGTTCTGTATTTAGGCAAGTTATACAGTGTACAGATATAATTGGAGTAGATAGTAGAAATCTGTATTTCAGTCTGAATAGTTCCATATTGCATATAATATAGATATACGAAAGTGATATTTTATGATGGCTTAACCTAGAATATCCTTAAGATAAATATGCGATAATTATAATTATATTAGTCACATAATTATTTTAAGTAAAGTGAGAAGAAAATGAGAAACTTTTGGAAAATATGAAGATCCAGTCCTTTAAAGAAATCACTCATTATTTTCTTCTATAAAGTGCAAGGATGTGGTCTGTACCTCGACACAAATTGTTATGCCTCGTGTAATTTGTCATTTTGGGAGATATTAGCAAATATGACACATTTATTTTGGGATGTAGCACTACAGGACAAATCAGTGGTTAATATTATATTAATATTGGTTAATCGAAGCCTGGTCATGGACCGGGCCGCGGGGGTGTTGACCTCCGAAAGGTGTCAGGTGACCTGGTAACCAACACTCTCGCCTCACACTGAGTGCCGTGGTTCGATCCCCTGAAAGGGTGGAAATATGAGCGTGCCTTACACCTGCTGTCCCGTTTACCTAGCAAGCAAGTAGGTACCTGGGTGTTAGTCGACTGACATAGGTCGCATCCTGAGGGACAAGATTAATTAAGGACTCAAATGGAAATAAGACAGTCCTCGATGACGCACTGACTTTCTTGGATTATCTTAGGTGGCTAACTCCGGGGTTAAAAATCCAAATAAAATCCTATCGTGAAACACCCTCCAGGTATTAATATTGACTAACCACATCATAAAAATCTTTGAATGAGTGCTAAGAAGCACGATTACAAACCACTGGGATTCCTAAAAACTACACAATCCAGGGCAACATGGGTTCAGGGCAGGTCGCTCCTGCCTCTCACAACTACTGGATCACTATGATATGGTCTTGGATGCACTGGAAGAAAAACAGAATGCAGATGTTATACACAGACTTTACAGAAGCCTTTGATAAGTGCGATCATGGCGTAATAGCGCACAAAATACGTGCTAAGGGAATAATTGGCGAAGTAGGAAGATGGATCTTCAACTTTCTAACCAATCGAAAACAAAGAGTAGTGGTCAACAGAGTTAAATTGGAAGCTGCCATAGTGAAAAGCTCTGTTCCACAAGGCACAGTACTCGCCCCCATCCTATTCCTTATCCTCAATATCAGACAGAGAGAAATGTAATCCACAGCACTGTGTCATCCTTTGCAGACGATACTAGGATCTGCATGAGCTTGTCATCTATTAAGGACGCGGTTAACCTCCAAGGAGATATAAACCAAGTTTTCCAGTGGGCACAGGAAAACAATATGATGTTCAATGAAGATAAATTCCAACTACTCCGTTATGCAAAATTGGAGATGATAACTAGAACTGAGTATACTACAAACTCTGACCATACAATAGGGCGGAAAAATAATGTGAGGGACCTGGGAGTAGTAATGCTTGAGGATCTCACTTTCAAGGATTACAACAGTGCCACGATCAGAACTGCAAAGAAAATGATATGATGGATAATTAGAACGTTCAAAACAAGAGATGCCAATGATGATCTTTTTCAAATCACTTGTTCTCTCTAGGCGGCTGAAATATTGTTGCACATTAACATCTCCATTCAAAGAAGGTGAAGCTGCAGATCTAGAGAGTGTACAGAAAACTTTACTGCACATATAAGTTCTGTCAAGCACCTTAACTACTGGGAACGCTTGGAAGCACTTGACTTGTACTCGCTGGAATGCAGGCAAGAGAGATATATCATAATCTACACTTAGAAAATCCTAGAAGGAATGGTCCTGAATCTGCACGCACAAATCACTCCTTACGAAAGTATAATAAGACTTGGCAGGCGGTGCAAAATACCCCCAGTGAAAAGTAGGGGCGCCATTGGTACACTAAGAGAAACCACAATAAGTGTCCGGAGCCCAAGACTATTCAACAGCCTCCCACCATGCATAAGGGAAATTACCAATAGACCCCTAGCTGCCTTCAAGGGGGATTGGACAGATATTTAAAGTTGGTGCCGATCAGCCGGGCTGTGGTTCGTACGTTGGACTATGTGCGGCCAGCAGTAACAGCCTGGTTGATCAGGCCCTGATACACTGGGATGTTTGGTCGTGGACCGGGCCGAGGGGGCGTTGATCCCCGGAATACCCTCCGAACCTGAAGAAAAATCGAATGTAAACAAAGGCGCGTCACTCTCATATCTATTACTGGCAGAGAGCGATTAAGTTACTTTAGATTTGGTCCCGTGGCTCAGTTGGACGATGCCCCATGGCTCGGTTGGCAACTCTCTGGCCTCTCACACTGAGTGTCCGTGGATCAATCCCCGGCACGGGTGAAACGTTGGGCATGTTTCCTTAAACCTGCTGCACCTCTTTACCTAGCAGTAAGTAGGTATCTGGGTGAATCGGCTGGTGTGGGGGACAAGATTAAAGGATTCCAATGGAAATAAGACACACTGACTTTCCTGGGTGGCTAACCTTCAGGGTTAAAAATCCGAACAAATTTTATCTCAATATTGGACAATTTTAGGAATAAGATATAGCCAAACTTCATACAAGGTCAAGATCTCCTTAATTACCGAAGCTAGAATACTACAGCAGCAGCAGCAGCAGCAGCAGCAGCAGCAATAATAATAATAATAATAATAATAATAATAATAATAATAATAATAATAATAATAATAATATAAATGCTCATGGCTCAGTTGGAAGGAGCATTAGCTCACGCACACTGGGAACCGGGGCTGGAAACGTTGGGCACGTTTCCTTCCACCTACTGGTCCTGTTTACCTAGCAGTAAGTAGATAGACCTAGGTGTTAACCGACTGGTGTGGGGGTCGCCTCCTGGGGGAGATGATTATAGGACCCCAACGGAAATCAGTCGGACGACTAGTCTGATGACTTTGCTTTCTTGGGCGTGTTTCCTTGCACCAGTTGTCTGTACTCACCTAATTGTGGTTGCAGGGGTCGAGACTCAGCTCCTGGCCCCGCCTCTTCACTGATCGCTACTAGGTCCTCTCTCTGCTTCCAGAGCTTTGTCATACCTCGTCTTAAAGCTATGTATGGTTCCTGCCTCCACTACATCACTTGCTAGGCTATTCCACTTCCTGACTACTCTGTGACTGAAGAAATACTTCCTAACATCCCTGTGACTCGACTGAGTCTTCAGCTTCCAATTGTGATCCCTTGTTTCTGTGTCCCCTCTCTGGAACAACCTGTCTCTGTCTACCTTATATATTCCACGCAGTAATTTTGTATGTCGTTATCATGTCTCCCCTGACCTTCCTGTCCTCCAGTGTCGTCAGTCCGATTTCCCTCAATCTTTCTTCGTAGGACATACCCCTGAGCTCCGGAACTAGCCTTGTTGCAAACCTTTGCACTTTCTCTAATTTCTTGACGTATTTGGCCAGGTGTGGGTTCCAAACTGGTGCTGCATACTCCAGCATGGACCTGATGTACACAGTGTACAGTGTCTTGAACGATTCCTTACTAAGGTATCAGAACGCTATTCTCAGGTTTGCCAGGCGCCCGTATGCTGCAGCAGTTATCTGGTTGATGTGTGCATCCGGAGACGTGCTCGGTGTTATGGTCACCCCAAGATCTTTCTCCTTGAGCGAGGTTTGCAGTCCTTGGCCACCTAGTCTATACTCTGTCTGCGGTCTTCTTTGCCCTTCTCCGATCTTCATGATTGCATTTGGCAGGGTTGAATTCAAGAAGCCAGTTGCTGGACCACGTGTCCAGCCTGTCCAGGTCTCTTTGAAGTCCTGCCTGGTCCTCATCTGATTTAATTCTCCTCATTAACTTCACATCATCTGCGAACAGGGACACCTCTGAGTCTATCCCTTCCATCATGTCATTCACATATACCAGAAATAGCACCGGTCCTAGGACCTACCCCTGTGGGACCCCGCTCGTCACAGGTGCCCACTGTGATACCTCATCCCGTACCATGACTCGTTGTTGCCGCCCTGCCAGATATTCTCTGATCCATTGCAGTGCCCTTCCTGTTATACGCGCCTGATCCTCTAGTTTCTGCAGTAGTCGCTTGTGAGGAACTGTGTCGAAAGCCTTCTTGCAGTCCAAGAAAATGCAATCAACCCACCCCTCTCTCTTGTGTCGTACTTCTATAACTTTGTCATAAAACTCCAGAAGGTTTGTGACACAGGATTTGCCTTCCATGAATCCGTGCTGGTTGTCATTTATAATCTTGTTCCGTTCCAGGTGCTCCATCACTCTCCTGATAATCTCCATGACTTTGCATACTATACACGTCAGTGACACTGGTCTGTAATTTAGTGCCTCTTTTCTGTCTCCTTTTTTAAAATGGGAACTACATTTGCGGTCTTCCATACCTCAGGTAGTTGTCCAGTTTCAAGGGATATGTGTTCAAGATTGTGGTTAAGGCACACACAGTATATCTACTTCCTCCTTGAGGACCCACGGGGAAATGTTGTCCGGTCCCATTGCCTTTGAGGTATCAAGGTCACTTAGCAGCTTCTTCACCTCCTCCTCAGTTGTGTGCATATCGTCCAGCACTTGTTGGTCTATTCCCTGTTGGTGTCCCCCTCTGTCCTGTCTTCCTAGAGTCCTTCCTGTCTCTGCTGTGAATACTTCCTTAAATCTCATGTGTTCACCCATCAGTAATAATGGGTACCTGGGTGTTAGTCGACTGGTGTGGGTCGCATCCTGGGACAAAAATGACCTGATTTGCCTGAAATACTCAGCATAACAAGCGGCTTTCTATATAGTAGTATGTCATTGATGTCAGCTGGGCCTGTATACCTTGTTCATGTACTTGTAGTAAATATATTATTATTATTATTATTATTATTATTATTATTATTATTATTATTATTATATTCTGTGAGGATGGTATTCCCCTCATACTCAATGACGCAGGACAGTTCTTTTGTCATAATTACACAGGATGAATTCCCTGTCATACTCCATCACGCATGATGGTTTTCCTGTCATACTACATCACGCATGGTGACTTTCAGTCATACTACACCACAAAATGGTTTTCCAGTCATGATCCGTCACACAGGATGGTTTTCCTATCATACTCAATCACGCTAGATAGGTTTTCAGTCATACACTGTCATACATGATGGTTTTATTGCAGTGCTCCATTACACAAAATTATTTTCCTGTCGCTCTCCATCGCACAGGATGACTTCAGTCACACTTCATCATGCAGGTTGGCTTTCCTGGAACAATCGTTCAGGGTGGTTTCCAGTCATATTTCATCACAGGATGGTTTACCTGTCACATTCCACAATGCTGTATGGTTCCCCTGTCACACACTATCACGCAGGCGTCTTCCTGTTATACTCTATCACGTAGGATAGTTTTCCTGTTATACTCTATCATTTAGGATAGTTTTCCTGTTATACTCTATCACGTAAGATGGTTTTCCTGTTATACTCTATCACGTAAGATGGTTTTCCTGTTATACTCTATCACGTAAGATGGTTTTCCTGTTATACTCTATCACGTAAGATGGTTTTCCTGTTATACTCTATCACGTAAGATGGTTTTCCTGTTATACTCTATCACGTAAGATGGTTTTTCCTTTATACTCTATCACGTAAGATGGTTTTCCTGTTATACTCTATCACGTAAGATGGTTTTCCTGTTATACTCTATCACGTAAGATGGTTTTCCTGTTATACTCTATCACGTAAGATGGTTTTCCTGTTATACTCTATCACGTAAGATGGTTTTCCTGTTATACTCTATCACGTAAGATGGTTTTCCTGTTATACTCTATCACGTAAGATGGTTTTCCTGTTATACTCTATCACGTAAGATGGTTTTCCTGTTATACTCTATCACGTAAGATGGTTTTCCTGTTATACTCTATCACGTAAGATGGTTTTCCTGTTATACATCTATCACGTAAGATGGTTTCCTGTTATACTCTATCACGTAAGATGGTTTTCCTGTTATACTCTATCACGTAAGATGGTTTTCCTGTTATACTCTATCACGTAAGATGGTTTTCCTGTTATACTCTATCACGTAAGATGGTTTTCCTGTCCTCCCTCATTACGTAGGATGGTGTACTGTTATACTTTATTATTATTATTATTATAATCAAGGGGGAAGCGCTAAACCCGGCGGATTATACAGCGCCTGGAGGGGGATGTGGAAGGCATTCAGGCTTAATTCGGGGAACTGGAGCACAGATCTAATTCCCTAAATCAAGAGCCCCTCACCAACATCAAGGAACCTTCCTTGAGGGGTTATACTTTATTACGTAGCATGAAGTACAAAATTCGTCTGCCTCTAAACACCGTATTTAACGTAATATAACTGGAATAAAATATAATTCATGTTAAACGCTAAACCCATGTGGGTCATTTAGAGCAATACGTGGCTGAGGCTTAATCCTCCGTTTGCAGAACGCGAAAAACCAAACTCTTGTACTCACCTAAGAAATAAAAAGTCACAATACCATGACTGGAACAGTACACAGATAACTCACAGATATGAGAATGAAACTTATGACGACGTTTCGATCCGACTTGGACCGAGTTAATGGTCCAAGTCGGACCAAAACGTTGTATGTTTCATGCTCTTCTGTGCGGGCTACTTGTGTATTATACTTACCTAGATATCCCGTAATATAACTGGACAAGTGTGCCAAGGAAATGCTTCCCTAGTTTTTAGTACTTTTGTATTAAATCTTAAATAACACAGTGAGAGCAGTTTTTAACAGATTTTAAAGTTAGGAATAGCTAAGGTGCATAGGTTAAATATACTGATATTTTTAAAAGTATTTCCGTCATAACCTGTTTAGCCCGACCTACTATTATATATAATCATGTTTTATATTACATCAGCTAAAGCCTTAAGCTTTAATAAGCCTCATTGTAATGTTAACAGTGGAAACACATATAAAGTGCATTTTAAGTAATTCTAGAGCATTTATTCAATTAATAATTATTTTTCATTGTCGCCAAATAAATAATCTGCAAATTTATTTGTTTTCAGGGTTACTATCATACCTGTAAGGTGAGGGGCAGTATATTTGGCGGTGCTGTCCCGTCACATGTGTTGTTCTTTAGTTTACAAAGTTAAAAGGCCTATTGTATGCGTGTGAGCCAGTAAGGCTGATATTCACGTGTACTTTAACGATTTAATTCCTAAAATAAAGATCAAACAACTGTGTATAAATATTGTAAGATATACACCTTCTGGGTGTATATACCGTGTTAGTGGTGTAGAGTTGGTCACTGGCGCCTCGTACTGTAGTGTACACACTTCATTCAACTATGCTAATAAAAGGTAAGACAAACACTGAAAGTATGTAAGAATGACTGAAAAAAATAAGTAGAAATTATTAATAATTAGAGTGAAACACGGGTCTCGTCGTGGGACTATCAAACTGGAATTAGGACAGAGATAGGGAGTTATGTTTTGTTGTTACTTCTGTTTTTTGTAGGTTTAGCGCTTCTTTTTTATAATAATAATAATAATAATTTTGTTGTAAATCGGGTCGCATTGGAACCATGTTGAACTGACGCCCTGCAAAGGGGGATAACTTCCAATACAACAGAGAACTTCCTGGTTTATCTCTAATTCCTCAAGTATACAGTACTCGAGGACATACCTTCAAATAGAATATATATATAAAGATTTGCATAATTAATCGAATAACTGGTATCCTGTGGTGTGGTTGACTAGACCCCTGTGGATATTTGTGACTTTATCGTGTTAAGATTTTATTTGAAGATATATTCCAGGAGGGGTGGCCACCCAGGATAACCCAATGCGTCATCGGGGACTGTATGTCTTATTTCCATTGGGGTCCTTTAATTTTGTTCCCCAGGATGCGACCTATAACAGTTGGCTAACACCCAGGTACCTATTTACTGTTAGGTGAACAAAAACAGCAAAAGTAAGGAGACATTCCCAACGTTTCCACCCGTGCCGGGAATCGAACCACGGACACTCAGTACAGTATATGAGAAATGCGCTATCAACCGAGCCTAAAATATCTGTGTGCCGTCAAGACCATTGTAAAAAAAAAGTTATAGTTACTCGGCAGAATTCGTAAGCACTTTTTTGTGTAATTTATTATTTTGGAAGATATTAGCGAAAATATTATATTTATTTTAGTTGCGAAGAACGTCTGAGTCAGTCACTGAACATTTAGTGTCCCGTAGTGGGCCCCCTCCCCCCCCCCCCCAAAAAAAAAAACACTAAAGATTTACGAGCCATATATGACGCTGTTACTCCCGCCGTGTTAGTGCATGTTTGTGTGTGTGCGCGCGCGCGTGTGTATGTGTACTTACCTAGTTGTGGTTGCAGGGGTCGATTCAAAGCTCCTGGCCCCGCCTTTTCGCTGGTCACTCCTGTGTGTGGGTGTGCGTGTGTGACCCAGTTATTATTTGCAGTATTAACTCATTACAGTTGTGACCGGGTGTGGACGTGTGAATGGCTCATTACTTTGTAATTTGTTCATGATTATGACCATGTGTGGACGTGTAGATGGTTCATTAACTTTGTAACTTGGTCATGATTGTGATTAGATCTACTTGTCCATCTATCAAAACTTTAGGGTCCAGTCCCTGGACCCATTATGTACCACAGTAATGTATTGACTACCGCCCACAGGATGGGTATGATGGTGTGCGTAATAAATATATTAAACTAACTAACCGTAGCTCTATTGTTAGCGCACTCAGTTGACACACTGAGGTTCGTGGTTCGATCCCCGGTACGGGTAGAAACATTAGGACCTGTTTCCTTATGATACATGTTGTCCCTGTTCACCACCAGCAAAATAGGTACCTGGGTGTTGGTCGACTGGTGTGGATCCCATCTAGGGACTAAATTGTCCTAATTTACCCGACATGCTCTGCATAACCAGGCTTTCTATATACGTAGCAGTATGTCGTTGAGGTCAGTTAGGCCTGTATACGTTGTATATGTACTTGTAGAAATAAAGATTATTATTATTATTGAGTCGTGTTACGCACTTGGTCAAATGTAAATAAAAACAAATCCACCGATGGCGGAGTAAGGCTAAGTTAGGTTATTTTATGTAGGTTTAGGTGGGTTTTGTTTTGCTAGATTGCGTTTTGGTAATAGTACCAAATAAAAGTATATGTTATGTAACAAAAGCCTAAACAAACACCTCTCCATCAGAAAATCCAAAGAAAAATATTTGACTTTTTTCTGGCATTTGTTCGGCTATAATTTGTGAACCCCATGCTCGTCCTATAAGCGGTAGCTCATTCGGGCTCTTGATTCAAGGAACTGGAGCTAACCTCTGTTTTTCCAATCAATTAATAATAACTGGAGTATATCGTATCCAATGAATTAAGATACAACAGGAGGGAGTGAGGCGGTGGCTATCACGAGGCATGTGTGGCGTAATATGGGTAGCGTAACATGGGTGGTGTGACATGGGTGGTGTGACATGGGTGGTGTGACATGGGTGGTGTGACATGGGTGGTGTGACATGGGTGGTGTGACATGGGTGGTGTGACATGGGTGGTGTGACATGGGTGGTGTGACATGGGTGGTGTACATGGGTGGTGTGACATAGGTGGTGTAACATGGGTGGTGTAACATGGGTGGTGTGACATGGGTGGTGTAACATGGGTGGTGTGACATAGGTGGTGTGACATGGGGGTGTAACATGGGTGGTTTAACATGGGTGGTGTAACATGGGTAGTGTGACATGGGTGGTGTGACATGGGTGGTGTGACAGCGGTTAGCATCCACAGATTATGTATTGAAAAGTTTAACACCGAACGTTCAACGAAACTCACGAATCGTGCTGTGCTAAATATCTTTGAGATAGATTAAGGTGGCGTGGCAGACGATCCTCAAGCTACGTGATACTGACCCTCATGGGTAGAAATAAACATGTTTGCAATATTTAGGGCATTTAATTATTGAAAATTCGCCAACACAAACACACCACCACACACACAATATTATATATTATATTATTATATATAATATATTATATTATATATATATTATTTTTAAAATTATATATATATAAAATATTATTTTATATTATTTATGCAAAAAAACCCCTCGAAAGAATTTGAAAAATTTCCCAAAGCGTTTTCGGACTACTCCTTATCAAGTTCTTGATAATGGGGTGTACGAAAAGCGCTTGGAATTTCTCTTTTCATTCGAGTGGTTTTTTTGCATTTTTGAATCACTGTTTACTGTGACTTATGCATATAATATTTTTGTATGTAAGTCCGGGCTTGTCTTGCATTTTATACTAAAATATTTATTTACCATGTACAGTCTTGCAATATGAATTATACGCCTCCAATTTACGTACTTTTAAGTGAAAAAGGAGATACTCATAGAATAAATACAAGGCGGTCAATTTAGTTTTTACATTAAAATTTGCAGTTTTTATTTCTTTGGTGAAAGGGTTGTAATTTTTATTTTGGGCATTGTTACCAATAAAAAAAATTCAACCAACTTTGTTTCCCGTACTCCAAAAAGGTGGGGGGGGGGGGGGATCGGTGTTGTAGGTTCCACATGACAGTAAAGATAATTACGTTGCTCTTTTTTTTTAATATTTTTTTATCGTTTTAGTATACCTTAATATGGCGAAAGTGGCATGCGCTTAATGAGCCTCGTGTGTGCAAAAATGAAGCCCAAGTAAAATCGTTGTGTTTCTCGGGGTTATTTAAAAAGGAAACGAGCATTTGTCGTTGATACTTAACAAGGGGGGCATAATTTACAAATTACCTGGAGAAAATTTTGTCCCGTTTTTTGTAAACTACTACCAAAAAATGTACAAAACAAATATTTATAAAAATTTTATTAAATTTGGGTTTTTTTGGGGTAAAGAAAATTCCCAAAGAAATTTACTTCCCTTCCCTTTTTTACCCTTTCCCAAATGGAAATTGGGTTATTTTCGCATAAGTATTTACCCCTTAAAAAATTTTGTATAGTCGTTAGATTTTTGTTTTTCAATCCTATGACACATTTCACCTTTCGTTATATCCCTTATAAATTATGAACCCCCCCCAAAAAACCCCAAAAAAAAAAAACCACCCCCCTTTTTTTAACAAAAAACCAGTACAACCCACACCACCACCCCCCAAAAAAAAAACACCCCCCCCCAAAAAAAAAAAGGATAATTGAATGTTTCCCTAGACCCCAGATAAACCCATATGTTCGTCTTCAACCAAGTCGGGTATCAGTTTAGTTGTGCAGAGAGGCGTGTGAGCACCAGGTGAACGAACATGGACGGTGTGACATAGATGGTGAAACAGGGTGGTTTGTGAAATAGTTATCTGTGACATGGGTGTCAAGGGATGGTTTAAAAATATCTGTGTGATTTGTTAACAGGAAGTGTGACATGTGAGTGATTAAATGGTATAAATACCGACAGGGTTAGTAAGATTATGTCTTGAATAGCTTGTACCAACCTGTATCGATCAACGAAATCAGAATCTGTGTGCTAAAGATCTTTGAAGATAAGATATAAGTGTTGCTATGTGTCAAGTACGTGAATATGTTCACTAATGGGTGGAAATAAACAGTTGACCAAATATATTAGGTGCTGTTTAATTTTTGAAATTTGATAGAGCTAAAGAATAAAGACATGAAATAAAAGTTTATAAAGTGTATACCAGTGATCTAACCGAACACACATTTAAAAACACATTTGAACAACAAACTCAAAACACGGCCAACATGACAATAGACAACAAGACAACACCCACATTCAATAGCTTCAATTGGTCTAAATTTTAGATAAATAAAATTAGGATTTTTTTTTTTTTAAAGAGTGGTTTGTGGTTTATGACTAAAAGTACTTCTACAAGCTAACAGAGTCTGCATATACGATTTAGCCTTCAATTTAACATGTACAAGTAACACACGAGATACTCATCGGGAATAAATACAAGGGGGGTTAAAAATTTATGTGTTGACAGCAAGCCTCGCAGCTTCTATGTCTTTGCATAATGGAACGTAATTTATCAACGCCTGTTGTTACAATAACTAAATTCAACCAATTTGTTCAACCCGTATCAAAGAAAAGTTTGGAGCAGGGAAAGCAGATCGGTGTTGTAGGAATCAATTAAAAAAAGTTAATTAAGCTTAGCAAGTTTTAAAACATAACCCCTGCTATCGCATAGTCTTCCATTATATCACACAGATGGATGCAGTCCTGAAAAGCCTCGTGTTCGCTAGCTGTAAGCCCAAGTTACCCAAGTAATAGTTCTTGTTATATCTTTTAATTTGTAAGAATAATCTGTATCATTGATACTTCATACAACATATATTTACAA